GGCTTAGTTTAGTATACAAGGTGAGGGCTTTGTGAAATGTACTGTGCATAGGAATCATATGGGAATCTTTTTAAGATGCTGTTTCTGATTTAGTAGTTCTTAGAGGGGGTGGAAGCATTGAGAATCTATGTTTCTTTCTTTCTTTTTTTCTTTTTTCTTTTGAGACGGAGTTTTGCTTTGTCAGCCAGGCTGGAGTGCAGTGGCGTGATCTCAGCTCATCGCAACCTCCGCCTCCTGGGTTCAAGCAATTCTCCTGCCTCAGCCTCCTGAGTAGCTGGGATTATAGATGCATGCTACCACGTCCAGCTGATATATATATATATAGTGTCTGTAATCTTATATATCGTATTTTTAGTAGAGACGGGGTTTCACCATGTTGGCCAGGCTGGTCTTAAACTCCTCACCTTGTGATCCACCTGCCTCGGACTCCCAAAGTGCTGGGATTACAGGTGTGAGCCACCACGCCTGGCCGAGAATCTGTGTTTCTAATGTTAATTGCAGGTGAAGATGCTGCTGCTACTGGTCTAAGGACCAAATTTTCAGTGGCTTGGTCCTTGGTGAATTTCTGCAGTCTGTACAGCTGTTGATCCTCCTAACAAAGATCCAAGTGCATCTATCCTAAATGCCAAAAATGGTATTTCTTCACATTGGGAATCATATATGATTTTTACTTTACTTTTTAAATTTTTCAATATTTTCCTAAAACTTTAGATGGAATGGATGACATTTGAATTGGTAGAGAGCAGTGTGAAGACCATGCTTGGACCTAATGGGCATGGGAGAGGGATGACAGAGAGCAGAGGAAGAGGAACAGTGGTGGAAACTAGCATCTTCCTGCAAACACATGGTGCCTATTCCCAGAATTGGGAGTCTAAGAAGTTGAATTTGATCAGACTATATCTTGGAGGACTTTTGATTTGCAGACTGACTTTTAGATTGTTATATCAATCCCTACTTGAAAATTTTCAGTGGCTATGCATTACATGCCAGGATAATTTTAAATGGTAAATGAGCAATTTAGGTTGTATGTGGGGCACCAATTTTTTTATATTCTTTTTTTTTTTTTTTTTTAAGACAGGGTTTCGCTCTGTCACCTAGGCTGGAGTGCAGTGGTGCAATCTTGGCTCACTGCAACCTCCGCCGCCTGGGTTCACATCGTTCTCCTGCCTCAGCTCCCGAGTAGCTGGGACTATAGGCGCCGGCCAACATGCCTGGCTAATTTTTTGTATTTTTAGTAGAGATGGGGTTTCACCGTGTTAGCCAGGATGGTCTCAATCTCCTGGCCTCGTGATCCACCCACCTCGGCCTCCGAAAGTACTTTTTTTTCTTAATAGTTACGTTATCTTGTATTTATCATAAGACTTTAGATTGCTTTTCTCATCAATCGGTGAGCTTCCTGCACACAGTGGCCACAGTTCATCTGTGGTTCTCTCTCTAGATCCTGCTCATTATCATTGCTCAATACATGGAGAAAGGCCTAGGTAAAGTGAACCAGAGATTCTGAAATAAATATAGCTAAACTTTGTTGGGTTCTCAGTGTTGGCACTGTTTTCACTATAACATAATGCTTTTAACAAAAATGTAAAGACTTATGACAAAATGTTTTAGAACCTTTCTAATCACTTCTTGGTGAACAAAGTTTAGTATTACAGAGAGGATTAGTGATGTTTCCAAAATGTAAATCATTCTGACAGATGACCCATCAGTGGCAGACAAATCATGGACAGATTCTGGGAAAAAAATGACAACATGTTTAAAGTCTATGTTTAAAATATTAACTTTTTAAATGGGATATTTCTTAATTTATTTTGGGAAAACTAGATATTCATAAACTGTTGAATGACTTTTTAAAATTCATTTTCTTACCGTCCCTCAAATAAGAATGAGAGGATATTAACAAAAAAATTGTTTGTGACATTACATAGTGGGAGTGGTTAATGAGCATTGAGACCATTTAGTTTCTTTAGACTGTTTTATTTGTAACAAAAAATCTTGTTTGATTTTTCTGATGGTTAAAGTAATATATATTGTAGAAAGTTTTAGGAAAATATTGAAAAATTTAAAAAGTAAAGTAAAAATCATATATGATTCCCAATGTGAAGAAATACCATTTTTGGCATATTTTGTGTATGTGTCTTATAATATCTGTCTGGTTTTGGTATCAGGGTAATAGTAACATAGTAAAATCAATTGGGAAGTATTCTTTCCTTTTCAATTATCTGGAAGAGTTTGTGTAGAATTGCATTATTTCTTCCTTAGACATTTGGTACTATTTATTAGGTAAGCCTTCTGGGCCTGACATTTTCTTTGTGAGAACGTTATCTATCTATGTCTTTGTTGAGTGAATTATGGCTGTTTGTGTCAAGGGATTTTTCAAGTTCATCTAAGTTGACGAATTTATTGGTATAAATTTATAACTTTTCTTGTTATTCTTTTAGTATCTATAGTATCTGTAATAATGTCATCGCTGTCATTCTTGATGTCAGTAATTTCTGCCTTCTTTCTTTTTTGACTAAAAACAAAAGGGTTACCAATTTTATTGGCTAAGAGTTTATTAATATAGCCAAAGGTTTCTAAATTTTATTGATCTCACAAAACCCCCCACCAGCTTTTGGTTTCTTTGATTTTTCTCTATTGTTTTTCAGTTTTGTATTTGATTGATTTCACTCCTGAGTTTCCCCCCTTTCTTCTACTTAATTTGGCCTTAATTTGATGAGATAAAGCACAATTCATTGATTTGAGATGATCTTTTCTGATATGGGCATTTTGTGGCATTCCTTTCTTCTAAATACTGCATTAGTGTCTTTCCATACATTTTGATATTACCATATTCTTTCACTACAAAATACATTCTAATTTCTTTTTGATTTCTTCTTTGATCAATGGGTTATTAAGAATTATGTTATTTAGTTTAAAAATGTTTGGGGGATTTTCCAGTGATATTTCTGTTGTTAGCTTAGAATTTAATTCCATTGCAATCAGATAATATATTTTGTATGAATTCTTTTAATTGTATTGAGATTTGTGTTCTGACTCAGAATTTGGACGGTCTTCATAAATGCTCACTGTGAACTTTAAAAAATGTACATTCTGCAGTTTTAGGGTAGAATATTCTAGGAGTGTCATTTAGGTCTGTTTGGTAGATAGCGTTGGTCAAGTCTTCTATAGCGTTATTGATTTTTCTCTCTACTTGTCCTGTCAATTATTGAAGGGAGATATATAAATCTCTGACTCTGTTTGTGGATATGTCCATTTCTCTGTATAGTTCTATCTGTTTTGGCTTGTGTATTTTGAAGCTTTTTAATTAGGTGTGTGGATGTTTAGGATTCTTACATCTTCCTGATTAGTGAGCCTCTTTATCATTATCAAATGATTTTATTTCTGTTGTTATTTTTGTTATGAAAGTTTCTTTGTCTGATATACAGTTATATCAGACTTTCCCGGAAAAGAATATGTATTTCCCAAACAATACAGTGTAACAATGATTTACATATAACCATATATATATGGTTAATCCAGCTTTCTTTTGATTAGTGTTATGGTATATCTTATTTTATTCTTTTATTTAACTTTTTGTGTCTTTATATTTAAAGTGCATTTCTGTAGGCAGTATATAGTTGTTGGGTCCTGCTTTTTTAGCCATTCTGACAATCTCTGTCTTTTAATTGGGGATGTTTAAACCATTTATATTTAAGGTAAGTATTGACATGATCAGGTTTAAGTTTATAATCTATTTTTTTTTCTATTTGCTCCTTCTGTTCTTTGTTCCCCTTCCCCTTTTTTGTTGCTTTTAAAATTGTTAGTATTTTTTATGATTAATTTTATCTTCTTTCTTGGTTTGTTAGCTATAACTTTATTTTGCTGTTTTAGAGGTTGCTTTAGGGTTTATAGTCAAGTCAGGCTTCCATATCCATGAGTTCTACATCTGTGGATTCAACCAACTGTGGACCAAAAATATTTGGAAAAAAAAAGCATCTGTTTTTGTTTTCGTTATTTCATAAACAATACAGTGTAACAACTATTTATATAGCATTTACATTATGTTATGCAGTGTAATCTGGAGATGATTCAACATATACTGGAAGATGTGCATAGGTTATATGCAAATACTACACCATTTTTTATCAGAGACTTGAGCATTCACAGATTTCGGTAGCTGAGATGGGTTTTGAAAGCATTCCCCCATGGATATTGAGGGATGCCTGTGTACATACTTACCTGGTATATTTTAGGTGCTCAATAAATATTTACTGAATGAACACATGAACAAATGTCTCCCTGGTGCCCAGGCCACAGGGCTGCTGAGAGCCAGAGGCACCAAGAGTGGTTGTCAATCCTGTGCTGTCAGACAATTATTCTTTCCCAGCTTTCAATTTTTTCTCTTTTATGCCATATTATTAATGGATATTGACTTTAATCTTCCTGTCTTGATGTTAGTACCTTGAGATTAGGCATCCATATCCTCTGCTCCCTGAGTCCGTGGAGGTTTCAGTAAATAGGCACTTTATCCTCAGGTGCGCTTTCTCCAGGCTTTTTGAAAGTGTGCGTGGGGTGGGTCCTCTGGATGAAAGAGACTGTGGCCTTGACTAACTGTGCCCAAACCCCCAGAAGTAAGAAATTCTTATCAGGAAGGGCAGATATTTTTTAAGGTAGTAAATAGAAAAAAAGGCTTCAAAGAAATGGTCTAAATTTAACCTTAGTTGATCTAGGCAAAGCTATACATGGGAAGGAAATTCAGGCCTAACAGATTTTCCCCATTCTTGGAATGCCACCAGTTTTTTCAAGGTTCTTGAAAAAAAATTATATACATATAAAATTTTATATATATGTAATTATATATATATAATTTTATATATAATTTATATATATACACACATACATATATATACATATATAATTATATATATACACACACACATGCACACACACATATATATATGATTGGGCTTCTTGATTTAAAAAGAAAAACTTATACTCTCTTTTTCTTTTCTCTTTTGCAGCAAGTAACTGGCAGAAGTTTTGGTGATAAAGATTTTCGGACAGGTTTAGAAAATGGAATCCTCCTCTGCGAGTAAGTATAGCCTATATTCAGTTGATTTTATTCAAAAAACATCATTAATACTATCCAGTTTGGCTGTAAGACTTCTAGTGTTTTGTTTTGAATTTATTCACAGTTTGAATCTGAAACTCAAAAAATCACTGGGCTAGACAAGAAACACAAGTCAGCGTGGCAGCCTTGGTGTTCCAGTAGGGAGTGGTGGGGACTGTGGCAACTGCAAACAGACAGAGAGAGAGCATCTGGTGGCTGCTGCTCAGCTCCAATAATCTTTCACTGTGCATCAATTTGATCCCATGTAATTGTAAGGGTGGACCTAATTGTGGTAAAAGTAAAACTTTTCTCCCCATTTAAATCCCAAACAAAAGCAGCTTGCACCAAAAGTGGACACAATATACTTACAACATCTTAAAAGCATGCCGGGTAATGTTCCTCACTTTGCCTGTTTCACTGGTGTATTTTGAATATGTTTAATTTGTGCTGCTGGCAAAATTTAAATGTGAACAATAACTACAGTGTTTAATTTTTGTGTTTCGAAGAATTCGGGGCTCCTGTGGAGTAGCTCTAGATATAAAATAAGCAGAGCCTTCATACTTATAAAGTATAGACATAAATTTCAAGATTTATGGATAGACGTAAATTTTAAGATTTCAAAATTTGCATTTATTTAACAAGTTCTGTAATTTCAATACTGATTTTTGTTTTATTGAGGTGAAATGTACATACAGTGAAACACATAGCTCCTAACTGTACAATCTAATGAGTATTGAAAGATTTGTGCATGTATGTAACCTATACCCTAATCAAGATATGAAACAAAAAGTTTCCTCATGCCCCTTCTCATTCACTCTCAAGCCCCTGGAGACAAGCACTGTTCTGATCTCTATCACAGTAGGATCTGTTTTGCCTTCTCTTATACTTGATTTCAATGGAATGACATAGAATAAACTCTTGTTTTTGACAACTTTCAGAATATTGCTTGGGATCCAATGATAACATGGAAGGAGTGTGGGTTTGGAGCCTGAGGACTAGAGATTGATGTTGTCACTTTACCCCTAAGTCATTTAATCTCCTCAAGTCTCATTTTTTTTCTAAAATCATAATAAAAAATTTATAACTCTATTTCATAGGCTTTTTATGAGCTTCAAAAGAATAGAGTGAGTGAGGCACTTTCAAAGATTGCAGCACTGTACAGATGTTGACTATTTTGTTGAACCTCTCAACACAGCCCTTGTCAGCATTTTTTTCTGCCTCCCGCCTGCTCTTCTTTCTTCAAAGAAAAATGTATATCTTGTATTTGATGTTTCCATATTCTCTTTCCTACAAAGTCTCTCCACCCTACTCGTATATCCCTCACCACCTCTTTTCTCATTATTACATCTAAATCAGAGCTTAACTCTTAGGTAAGCTGTAATTACTTCAGCACCTCAGTGGATGCAAGCCAGTCAGGCTCTGAACTCTTTCCCTCTGTTCTAGCACTTGCTTTTCCCATGATTCTGGGCTTAGCCCTCTCCAAATATTAACAGACTAGCTGAAATCTGATCTAATTCATGCGGACCATGTTGGTTCAATTGAAGTGGGTCTTTAGTCCAATTTTTGTTTACCCAACATTTGCTCCAGAGATTCTTGTAGGCATCCACTTCTCTGCTATATTCTCATGCCCGGGTAGGTAGGATGAAATTGTCTAAGTCCTCTTATCACAGGGAATTAGACCCACTGGTGTATTTGAAGGAGCATGAGCTTTGGAGTCTGCGGACTAGGGATCAAGCCCTTGTTTCCTCAGTGGGACTCTAGCTAGCAGCCCCAGCAAAGAGTTTGCTAAAGTGGAATGAACCACATAGGAGGCCTGAGGCAAGGAAAGCCAGTAGCATGAACCTCTGCTAGGTCCTTTGAGAGAAAGCTGGGTCAGGAGCCAGCGAAACCAGATGCACACAAATTTCTAGGCATGGAAGTTGCAGAGCAATGAGAACCAAAACCATGACCCAGGAGCTGCATGCAATGGTGGCTGGGGACGACGGAGGAAGAGAGTTTTCTTCCTCACGCTTATGGCTAGGTTTTGTCTAAGTCGAGACTATTAGGCTGCCACAGACTGAGATTAGCAGGTGTATTTTCTGGGACTTGTACCCCAAAGCCAGTCTAGCAAAAAGGGGGACTTACTCTGTTGAAAATATGGGATTGTTTGATGGCGGGGGCCAAAAGCCGGGACACTCAGCATGGAGGATTTTAGGAATTTGAAGGCTCCCAGACAGTGGAGCCACACAGGTGTCAAACACCTGTCTTTGGAGATTAGATTAGAATGCCTAAGACTGTACCACTCTCTAGAACCGGAGAGAGTTTAGTGGATGACGATGATTAGGAGTTCTAACTCATAGCTACCCCACACCACAGAAACGTTTAAAAATATAAGGACTCTCTACAATTTCAAATTTTGAAAACTAAGCAGTTTAGCTCTTCTTAGAATGGGGCTTTTTATAGTATATAGGCTTTAAAAAGTTATTTGATGCTTTCCAGTTTTGTGTTATTCAAAATAGAAGCCCAGTTGGTATCTTGGAGCAGTGTTATCCCAGTTGGCAAATACATGAGCAGCATTGTTGAATTCTTTCTTTTGTTCAACAAATGCTCATCTTTTTGTCCAAGCTGGATCCACTCTAAATGTTGATAGCAACTGTGTAGAGACACCAGCATCTTTGTTCACTAAAAATTTCCTGAGCTGTTGTAGGAGTCTAAAGAAACAAGCCAAAAAAACCTTCATCATTTTCATCAAACAGAAAGGTACCTTCTGGGCCTGGAGTCTGTTTTTTCCCCTGACTAGCCTGTTTTCAAACTTAACTGTGGTCTCTAAGGAATATTATTATACCTATTTTACAGAGAAAGTAACTGAGGTACAAAGGATTAAATAACTTGGCTAAGGTCACACAGATAAAAAGTATTTAAGTTTGGCCGGGCACGGTAGCTCTCGCCTGTAATCCCAACCCTTTGGGAGGCGGGGTGGGTGGGTCACCTGAGGTCAGGAGTTCAAGACCAGCCTGGCCAACATGGTGAAACCCCATCTCTACTAAAAATACAAAAAATTAGCCGGGCTGGGTGGCGGATGCCTGTAATCCTAGCTACTCAGGAGACTGAAGCAGGAGAATTGCTTGAACCTGGGAAGCAGAGGTTGCAGTGAGCTGGGATCGTGCTACTGCACTCCAGCCTGGGCAACAAGAGCAAAACTTCATCTCAAAAAAAAAAATAAAAAAATAAAAAAAATAAGTTCAGGAGGTCTGATCCCTTAACTCTTGCTCTTAATCACTGCCCTGTTCTAGAATTGGGATTTTAATGGGCGAGAAAAGAAAGAGATTGGCGGGTGGAGAGAGGAGAGGGCATTAGTGCCTGCAGAGCTAAGTGTGGGGAGGGTGGCAGTGCAGAGGGTGAACCACGGGGTCTCAGCTGGGCAGAGGACAAAGAAGGACTGCGTGGGGTTGGTGGTCTTAGAAAAATATAAGCATCAGGGGCCTGGTGGTCCCACTTGGGCTAAGAAGGCAGCTTCAATAAAACAAGGACAAGAGAGCTGAAAGGGTCAGAGGCTGTGGTCACTGGAGGATGAAGGAGTTTCAGTTTTTGATAGAGCGATCAAGACCAGATTGAGACAAATGAGAATTGTGGACCTGGATTAAAGACTACAGAAACAGGAGAGAGGAAAGATGAGCCCCTACATACAGCATGTACGATGGAAATGGAATACCCTCAAAATCACCCTGGGAGAGCTCTTTCTCCCTATGGCTTTGAATATCAACCCCCATGCAGGAATATTAATGCATAAATGTATAACTTACAGTAATAGCAAGTATAATATAGAGTGCCTGTGTCCAGTGGAATGGCAGTAGATGTGTTTTTGCCATACTCATGTCTGTCTTCCTCTGTTGGTTTTGCCAAGTGTGTGTGTAGTTGAAGTTTCGGAGGTTAAATGCTTAAATGGTATGAGCCCTCTTCTGAGTATTTAATAAGAGGCTGGGGTCAAAGTGTGACAGAGTCACAAATATGTGACAAATGTTATGCTGTTAGAAGTCTTAATCATATACCGCAGTGTCCTTGATGACTTATGAGTCAAAAAGGAAGGCTGCAGAGAGTTTTTAAAGAAGCTACTCCCAGGTTGGAGTCATTGGCAGATGATATTCTCTACTTCCCTGTACATACACCAGGCTGTTTGAAATGACTCCAGAAAAGAAACTTTCTGACTTGTGTTTCTGACTCTGATTTTATTATTTAGATAAGAGTCTGTGGAATTATATCAGGATCGGGGTTGGCAAATTATGGCCCTTGGCCTATTTTTTTGTTTGTTTTTTTGTTTTTCACTGGCCTTCTTGCTAAGAATGTTTTTTACATTTTTAAAGGATTGTAAACCAAACTAAATTAAACAAGAGTCTATATGTGGCTCACAAAGCCTAAAATGTTTACTATCTGGTCCTTTATAGAGAAACTTTGCCAGTTCTAAAGGACTGTTGGATTAATTTTAGATGTAAATTATTTATCCTTGTAAAGTTAAGAAATTGAGTTTAGGCACTGCAAAATGCTATTTGGGTAAATTAAATAACGTTTTACAAAAGATTTTCCCAGGAGTCTCTTTACAAGTTTTCTCCTCCACCTTTTTATTTTGGACAATTTCAAATTTATAGAAAAGTTACAAGAATAATATAATAAATATCCATATACCCTGCACCTCAATATACTAATTATTATCATTTTGCCATATTTGCTTTATCTCTTCATGTGTATATATGTGTGTGTGTGTATATATATATATATGCCTCTTTTTCTTGAACCATTTAAATGTAAGATGCAAACATCATGAAACTTGACTCCTAAATGTTGCAGGGTGGATCTTTTAAATATAGGAACATTATCCTCCATAACCATTCAAGGCATTTAGCAATGATACAGTAATGTCTAAAGCATAGTCCAGAGTTAAGTGTTGCTAGTATCCCCAGTAATATCCTTTATACTGATTTTTTACAAATCTAGGATCTGGCTGGGGG